AAGTAAAATATGATTAACATTTTCCTTCAACAAATGATGGATTGTGACAAGAAAAATAGCAAAAATAGGGGCCCTTTATTATTTCTTGAAAATAACTCGTTGACTTTGGAGGTATTCATGAATTTACTAGGTCGGCAAGGATAGTGGTACAGAAATCCAGGATTTTTGATCCACGAAAAGCGCTACACATGTTGTCATAATGTCTGGAGACGACATCACAAGTATTTTCCCCTTTCGTTTTCGGAACTTGACCTTGATTAATCATCCATTCGATTGATGCATTTTTGAGAATCTTGATGTTCATACGAATGAGAAAGTAAGTTCTGAGCTCATTTTCATCTAGTGCTAAAATTTATTAGTGAATTTTTTTTTGTTTTATTATTTTTCTTCCAAGTAGAGATCGAAAATTGAGTAAACTTGAAAGGAAATAATACTTGTAGAATTTGACATCAAAAGCGTAAAGTCATTGGCTTTGGAGGTAGTTGGATGGGACCTCACGAGTACCATTTCAAATTAATTTATCCTTAAGGTGTAAATATGGTAGAATACGGTGTAAATAAATTTAGATAAGTTGTAAATAAATTGAAGTATAATATAAAAAAAATTGAAATAACCATTTTATCCTGAAATAATTTGGAAGTAAGGACAGAAGCATAAAAATTTGGTTTTCGTCAGTCAGCCAAATTATCACTTTGTCAAGAATTGTAGCTAGCATATTATTACCAAGCGGAGACCTGGTTAAAAACAATTCCTTGTTTTCAACTCAATTGACAAAGGTTACAAAGTTAAGAAGAGTCAAAAGGAGAAATTTCAAAATTGTTATCTACTATCAATTAGTTAGAAAAACCATGCTAGTACTATTGACCTAAAACTTGACAAAATTGGAAATGTATTTATATTTGAAAAAGATAAATTAATTCAGACTTGTTAGTGCATACGCTACTAATATAGTGAGATTGAACATTTACGCACATAACACTAATACCTATTTTATGTATATGCATATAGGTGTATTCACGTCAACCCTTATTTAGTAGTGCTTCTAATCAACATATAACGTGTTTTGCAGCCCAACTAAAACCCCACAGACAATACACGAAACAACTTGGGAAAGATCACTTTTTGCTATTTTCGTTTTTTGGGTCAAAGTCTTCCATGAGTCTTCAAAATTTTGTCAAGAAAATTACCCCAAGTTCTTTGTTTTAAGCAATACTGTTGATTTCATAGACTTGACTTCATAGACTTGACGAATAGATGTTAGTAGTAATTGCACATTCCTTTCTTCTGTTTGCCTGTTGGTTTTATTTCAACTTTCACGAATTTATCATCTGATATTACGCTAAAGGTTGTAGTACCAAAGAAATTTTCAAGCAAAAATTCATGGGCTGTCGACCCCTGGCCAGCCGCGTCAACCGTGCATCACATGAAGCAAAATCATCACATCTTTGAGTGGACTACAACTAATGACTGCAGATGGTAGGACGAATGATAAGAATGCATCTTAGTTTCTTATGTAAAGTGGAAGCAAAATATATACAAATGGAGTCGGCAACAACAGCTGGAATGATGTTAGAAGAAGCAAGAAATTCTTCCAACTATACTCGTACATGTGTTAATTAGAGGCATGCCTAACTCTGCAAGAAGGTGGAATTCTGGTGTGGGCATGGGAGAATGTAACACTTCATCCTGCTCATACCATACCGTCTAATGGCTTTTATCACGTTCCACTGCTGAAATCCCACAAACCCTCTTCTGACATTTATGCCAATTTTACTAGATTTAGGGCCGTGACGAGCACTAGAGTTGGGATCTAGTGATGGTCTTGATGGAATGGGCATGGATGGTAGCCCCTGATGTACCTGAGGTTTGAATCTTTTGATTAATGGAAGTGGAAAATCTGCCTACAACATTTTCTTTTAAAAAAATTTCATGCAATTGGAGTACAAAATAAGCACACAAAACTGGTGGGGTCCATCATAAAATTTTAATCTTTTCTCCATCCCTTGAAGACAAGAATATACATCCACCGCATTTTGATTTAGTGGTCACCAAAAAAGGATTAAATCATTCTTTGAACTGTAGGTCGTAAATTTGAATATCATCTATAAAGAACAAAATCTAAAAAAGGTATCAGGGTACCCTTTTAGTCTAATTAGATTTGTATACCTGCTAACCTCTTATACAGTTTTTTAAATTCCCCCTCCCTCTATTCTGGAATAGATTAGGTTATAAGAATATTGCGTAAAAAAAAAAAGAAAAAGAAAAAGAAGACAAGAATATATAGAGCCCAAAATTTAGGTAGTGCCCTTAGGATGCATGCCTCGAATTGTAAAACCCATAAACAAAAAAAGCATGCACTTCCTCCATCCCATTTTAATAATAATTTTTTTCAAAAAATTTAATAAAAATTAATTAACTTTATTAGAAAAATAAATTTAGTTTACTATTTTTTTAAAATATCCTTACATTAAATGAAGTATGACTAATTAGTTTTATATTAAATAGTTAGGTTATATTCAATAATAACCTGCATTAAATAAAGATATTTTAGAGCAATTTAATGTTAGCTATAATCTTCAATTGAAAATGAACTATAATTTGAGACAGATGAAAAAAAAAAATCTTAAATTGGGACGGAAGCAGTACTTGTTTCAACAAATTTTGTGAACATATTAAACCCAACGGATGATGTTGTGGTGGGGTGTAGTCACATTCCATGCTGTTACTAACTTACTCCCAAATGTCCATTGCAATTGTTAAGACTTTCGTAAACCATAATCTCCGGTGGGTTGTTTTGGATAGGTGAGCACAATTACAGTTGTCCCTATACATTAACCACGATCCAATCGTGTGTGACCTTAATTAAGGTGGTACCCTTCATAAAGTCGAACTGATGCTGGTTTTTTTAAGCACTATCAACAACGTTTTAAGCATATCCATCATTTTATCGAGTTTCATTGCTAGAGGGCTATAATGGCTTGTAGACTTGCAAAAGAATTTTTTTGTTTTTGGTGTGATCTTAATCTGATCAGCCACCAAGTTCGACAATGAAAGATTTTCGGATGTGCTCAAATTCAATCCCCAAAACCAATTGTTCAAAGTAAGTAATTACTTATAAACAATTGGAATCAATTGTTGAAGTTAAATATGATTCCTGGTGTATGCTAATAGTCTCTTGTTGGTAGGCGAATCATATAAATCGCCATATAATCTCCTCTAGGCCTGTGGCATCTGAATTTAGGCTCCCCTTTTGCCAAAGTCTTTTGTATCAATAGAAAGAAAGGAAAAAAAAAACAGTTCCATTTTCCATCAACCGTTTTCGAATTTATGGCATCTCAAAAAAGGGGGCTTCAAAAGTTTTGGTCAGGGCCGGCCTCCTAGCGTACTAATGTAAACATTTACCACCATTTACGGTATATCAAAACATGATGATGTTACATCACCGCTGACCACTAATATCATCAATTGTCCAAATTTGAAATGGGAATATCTCGAACGTGAAGCCTACGTATTTATTTATTTATTGGTAATAAGTAATTTAGGTGAGCTTTGGTCACCATCACAAATGAGGATATACTTCTAAAATTACAAGTCGAGATTCTTACAAACCGTTCATTAATATTGTTCTTATATCTGCAACAGAATTTAAAAAAATATATATATTTTTATGAAAAAGTGACATGCCCTTATTAATTAATTCAACTTGTGTGGCGTTACCCTCCATATGTTCCAATTAAGTAGGACCTTTGAAGCGTGTAATCTCCAGAGTCTTAGCTTCCGGTCAATTTCTTCTGATAGCGCCGGTAGGTTCCAGTAATCCAAAAAGTATATATTTTATGAAAAGCCACTTTTAGCGACAAACAATTTTCCCATAGCCAATTGAATAAGTTCAAGAATACTAAAAAGTTTCTTTACATGTTGGACGCAATTGACACATTCACCATCGTTTAAAATGGACCAAAAGCTCCATACTTAGGGGGTTGGTGAATCTTTTTCTGTTTAATTTGGGTTTTGCCAAAAAAATGTAAGTTAAATTTGTAATGGCCAACCAATACTTAATCTTTATAATTTTGTTTGTTTCAGTAAGCACAGTTGCTAAATGAATTTTCTTAAATAGACAAAATATATTACGATTGTCATATATTTGTATAGTAAATCTAAAAACTAATCAAGCATGGTAGAGCAATTTAATACTAATTTTTTTTTCGATAAAAGGACCTATTCGTGTTTAAGAAACTTCCATACTGAATGAATTGAAGATCAAATAGTTAAGGACTAACAAGTAGAAAATGAGAAATTATGCGAGTATATATCACATTCAGCAACAGTTGAAGGGCTTCAAGGGTAACTCATACAAAATACTTGATCGCTGCACTAGTGCACATCTCATCTAGAAATGTAAAATATTAAGCAAGCGGCTTCAAGATGCAATAGCAAATCATGCTAGTTACAAAAAAAAAAAAAAAAAAAAAAAAAAAAAACAAAATTTGTGGATCTTTTATGACCTTCATTCTATTATGTTGTCATAACTCCTTCATAAATATTCTATTTTTACTCAATTTTTTAAAGGTTCCCATAAATATTGAAAACATTAAAAAAATATATACAATAGACTAAAAAATTAAAATATAACAAAATCACATAACCATTTCTGTTACATTTGTTAATTTTTTGTTGTATGTTGTTTTTTGATCTATTGTGTTTTTTTTTCTCACTCGTAGTAGTTATGGGAAGTCTGAAACTTAAGAAAAGAATAATTAAAATGAAAATTTATGAATAACACTTGAAAACATATTAAAAGATGGGACAGAAAGTGTGATAGAATAGAAGAACAACTAAATTTAATAATTAATACAAAGATAAACCACCTGAATAGAAGATCCTTCACTATACTGATCCCATCTTTCCTAATGGACCATACAACTATTTTACCATCAAAAACTCACTAGCACACTTATATTTCTTGATTGCCCCAAGAAAGTCATAATTTTGCTTTTCCCTCAATGTGGCAACCTTGCACATTTAAGCAATGCTATTTGATCAATGTCTTCAAGAATCTCTTGATAGATTCTTGGGGGCATTGGATCCTTACTTCTATAGTAAAGCATATCGAATTCTATAATATCTTCATCTTTACCCAAATAAGCAGTTGAAGTAGTGATATATCTCACAAGGATACCATTGTAGCGGTCTAATCCACAGAAAGCCTCAGGTTGCAAAGGAACAAGTTTCTTCACATCTTCAATTAAGTCCCTAATCTTGGACAAGCTGATGCTGGTTGCAGTATCGAAGCAGCATATGCCCATAAATCTGGGGTCCGAAGGGCATGATGTTGGCAATTCATTTTCTGGGTATCTGGGAATGTGCCACATGATTGAAGGCATAGGTGTGAATTATAACCTAATTATGTTGACTCATTTAAATCCGATGGCTAATAATTGGATGGGCAATGAATTTTGAATGGATTTAAATGAATATCTAATTAAACTCATTTCATTAGTGGGTAATGAGTTGATTCGATCAGCCTATTTATACTTATTTTAAAAAAATTATATATTTAAATACAATTTTTAGTAGGTGTTAAGCAGATAAATTTGAATTTTGTACCAATCTAATAAAAATAAAATCTATTATTTCTTGTCAAACAACATGCAAAGAAATTAAAAAATAAGTAGAATTTCAAGCGAGTTATAAATGAGTAATTGAATACTCTTATACTTATTTCTTAAATGGGCATAAATAGATTAATTCATTTGAACTCATTTATTAAATAGGATAAATGAATTGGCCCAATTATATCCATTATCCAATTATAACCCATACAAATCCCCATGAATCACCCATTTTGTCGCGTCTAATTGAAGATGATTGTTATAGCCTACCACAGGGTAGCCATTGAAAATCATACCTGGAAGGATACAATCACACGTATATTGCAGATTTTCCGCCACAAGACATTTTGTTTTTCGGATCTTAATCTTTATTAGTCATCCAGTCGATGGATACATTTTGAGAATGTTGATGTTCATACGAATAAGAAAATAAGTTTCGAGCTTATTTTCATCTAATGCTAAATTATTAGTGAGAACTTTTTCGTTTTATTGTTTTTCTTCCATATAGAGATTGAAGATTGAGTAAAGCTGAAAGGACATAATCCTTGTAGAATTTGGATCTATTATTTTAAAGGGCAAAAAACCTCAGCGGCCATTAAACTATTGGCGAGATCATGTTTTGGCCATCAAACTATTTTTTGTCAATAATTGGCCACTAAACAATTTAATCCGTAAATCCGTGACCATTTCGTCATTAATTGTTCTTAAGTTCTGAAATTAGCATTACACGTGGCAATCCGTAAACTTTTATTGTACTTCCTATACCACTTTTTGTTCAACATTCTATTTTGTTGCTGTGAGTCCTTTATAAATATCCCATTTTAATTCAACTTTTTTCTAAATTTCCCATGACTATTGGCAAGATTAAAAACAAAATGCAATAGATAAAATGTAAATTATAACAAAATTATGTAGTCACAAATTTTGTTGTATTTTTATTTTTATTTTTTATATATATATATGGTGTATTTGAGTTTTTAACCTTATAGTAGTTACTAAAACTTAAAGGAAAAAAAGGAATTAAATAGGATATTTCTGAATAACACATGACAACATTACAAAAGATTGGACAAGGAGTGGCATAGAATTGAAGATCCATGAATTGTAATAACTTATACAAAGATAAGTAATTTTACTGAACTGTTGGATCTGGGCTTAAAGAAAAAAGAACTTTTTGAGCTTAATATCTGTATACTTAATGTAAACTGACTTATGACAAGTTTACTACAAAGAAAATTGTACATAGTGAGAGACTGAATAGACTCAATTAGGGACGTGTAGACGGATGAAATCCAATTGTCCACTTAAGGGAGCAAATTACAACATAATTTCCTTGAAGAATAATTTAATATTTCTAAGACCAGTCATACCCATCTTCATATGACAAATGAACACAAACCCTAGCTTCTTGATAAACTTTTCCTGGTCGACAAAAGTATCCCTTTTGTGGGGCACAATGAACATCTTCCGAGCATATGCATAATCCTTCTAAGGCACAATTTTCCTTCACTATACTAATCCCATCTTTCACTTCAAGAATTTGGTCTGTCCATTCATTGGAAAACAACCCTAAAGGATCATACAACCTTTTTACTTTCAAAAACTCACTAGCACTCTTATACTTCTTGATTGCCCCGATAAAAGCCATATTTTTGTTTTTCCCCCAATGTGGCAACCCTCCATATTTGAATAATGCTAGTTGCTCTATCTCTTCAAGGATGTCTTGATAGATTCTTGGGGACATTGGATCCTTACTTCTATAGTAAATCATGTCGAATTCTACAACATCTTCATCTTTACCCAAGTAAGCAGTTGAAGCAGTGACATATCTCATGAGGATACCAATATAGAGGTCTAGGCCACAGAAAGCCTCAGGTTGCAAAGCAACAAGTTTCTTCACATCTTCAATGAAGTCCTTAGTCTTGGACAAGCTGATGCTGATTGCAGTATAGAAGAAGTATAAGCCCTTAATTCTAGGGTCCCAAGGGCATGATGTTGCCAATGCATCTTCTAGGCTGTCTAGGCATGTACCAGATGATTGAAGCTGATTGTTATAGCCTACCACAGGGTAGCCATTGAAAGCCATACCTGTATCAAGACCAGTCTTGGTTTATGTTGTTCTCATATCTTTCTATAATCCCTATCTTTGGCTCTTGATTTTATTCTCTTGGTATAGTCAATTTTTCTTAGCTAAATTTTAGTCCTTAATTTAACGGCAAGCTATAATTTGATGCATCATGTTTATACTAGGTATTACATTTTCTAAACTGTGGACGATAATGATCATATAGTTTGATAATGTTCCAATAATATTCAATCTAAAAAGTTACTTGCTTTGGAATATTTTGTACAAACAATCTTTAAGGCGTTTGTTGAATTACAGGATAATACATTTGCAGTTGACCCACACACCCAGGGAAACAAATTATTTCGTATATAAAGTTAGATGACTTGACCGTCCTTTATTGTTTATTGGCTAAATAAAATCTTTTAAAAAGTATGGGGACCTTTAGAGTCATTTATATCCTTTAATTATAACAATACGATAGATTTAAATTAGAAGAGTAGGTGAAATATCACAGTCCAAGGAAATATCACTAGTTCTTTCCAACTCTAGCTATATATTCTACCATGTCAAATACTACTATTTTGCTGAAAATTTAGAAAAACAAAAAGCAAACAAGATCAAACATTACTCTTTTACTGGTATATATAGATAAAGCGTATGCAATAATTTTTCTTTTGTTATTTGAGGGATTGGAGGAATTATGTGACTTGAATGGAATAAAAGCTAAAGATAGGATTGGGAAGAAATACCATCATTAGTCAACCCATATGCTGCCACTGCCAGTTGGGATAGAGTTTGTGCTGCTGTTACACATTTCCCTACAACATCACTTGTGGATTCTTGACTCTCTCCTATTCAACAACAAAGAAACCAACAGTTAATAATATGGTCTTACAATCAGATTATTATTGCTGATTAAACAATAATGTTAGTAATGCTAATAAGAATATGCTTACCATTTCTAGTCAATCCATATGCAGCCATCTCCATTGGGGATGTGCAAGCTGACCCAGTTACGCATTCCCCACCAACACTTGTACCCCTGGATTCTTGACTTTCCTCTGTTAAAATAACAAAAAGAAAGCAATAACAGATCCATTGTAGTTTACATTAATTGAAAAATAAAATAGGTTTCACATGGGCTAGTCAAATGATTAATCTTAAAACCAACCTAAGCTTCTTGCCATGGCAAGATATTGTGAAGGGGCAGACCGGAAAGCCGCAAAATCATAAACACCATTTCCAGGAGTGCCTGAGGAGACTCTATCATCAATACGATAGACAACCTTGCTTTGACTTGGGTACCACGTTAAATCTGCAAATTCGTGTTGTCTGCCGAAGGTGGACACTTGATCTGCTAAGTCTGAATCATTTTTCTCTAGAAGGGTGATGGACCTCTTAAACATTGGTTGCAGTTGAAGAGTCACCTGCCATGTTATATCTTTTTGTTAGTCTTGTACTCTTATCGCTTGGATCAAAGGTCATTCTGTTCTTTCCTTAGAAAAAGAAAATGGGGCAACTGAAGAATATGGATCTGAAATATGCATTGGAGTATATAATCAACTTCAGAAGGTACCTGGGAAATCACTCCAAGAACACCAAGGGATACTCTAGCAGCATCAAGCTCAGGGTCACCATTTTGCAGCGTTCGAACTTTTGCATAACCTTCATCAGGACCTACAGGTGTTACAATCCGAAGTTGAATCACAAAATCATGAACTGCACTACCCGATTCACCCCACAGTGAGCTTCCATGGGCACCCGTGCCCAAAATTCCACCGACAGTTACACCCCACCAATAGGGGACATAAGGTATAGCTAATCCAGCCATGGCACTTTCATTGATCAGCTGCCTTAGTAACATTCCAGGCTCAACTGTTATGGTCATGGCTGATTTGTCGATATTCAGGGTCCGGTTGAGGTCCTTGGTGCTAATAATCAGGCCATTTTCTCCCTCAGGGCATATAAGTTTAGGTATACTGTGTGATGTTGAGGTTGCTACTTTCATTTTTCTCCGCAGAAAAGTTGCATTTGCTACAATCGAAATCAGCTCTTCTTCTGTCGTTGGATAAACAACTTCGACTGCATGACATATGCTTCGATCTGGGAATGTAGCGTAAGAATTTGTGATGGTGCAATTTGTGTTGCCGGATGAACATCTTATGTGATCTTCTGGAGGAGTACTTCTGACCAAAAAAATTGTGAAGCTAATAATGATCATATATGCTAAGAGGATTTGCCATTGAATTTGCTTATGAAAGTGCATGGCTGAAATTTTGAAGAACTCTGCAAATATTCTTGATCTGTGACAGAGTTGGATTGATATGTGGAGAAACTCAGAAACGTAGCCTTTGTAGATAAACAAAATTGACAACAATCAGAGTACCCGTTGTCGAACATATCTAGTTTGGCCACGAAAGTCAAAATCCTTTTCAATTATTGTTTTGAATCCTTATCGTTGGTTTCACCCAATGTAAAAAATCAATTACGGATCTTAATTTAAATATTATATCTTCTCCTGCTTTTAAGGTCCCACCCCCTCTGTCATGATTCCAACAGACCGCCACAAGTTTTATCGTGGTCAAGGACCAACTACTACACAACTTAACAATTGATCATTGACCAATAAAAAAACTCCAAATATATAATCATTTACTTTATTTACTAATTCATGTTGTACTCTGGCCGCCTAGACCATTCAGCT